TGACAAACCAGAATGGCGTATTACTGTTTCCCCTCCAGTACTCATGGAAGACATTGCTAATCAATTGTAGCACTCATTCTTAGTATTCACATAGCTACAAGAGCTACAAGTATATTTTCTCTCTCTCTCTCTCTCTCTCTCTCTTTCTCTCTCTCTCACACACACACACACACACACACAACCCTTAAATACTTCCAATACTTCCTTGGATAAAATGGAGAATAAGTAAATAGAGAGATGGATTTACTGTTAACCTTGAATAGTGTTAATGAAGCACCAATGAGAGCACACAACCTACAATTAATATATATATATTTTTAAGACTAGAAAAGAAGCTAAGAGGAAACTTAGGGGGGAAAAAAACTGTGTAACTTCCTGTCTAAGAAGTACAATTCAAGTGATGACATCCCTCCAATGACTCACTTGCTAAAGGAGTCAATAATTATTTACACCGACACACATGCTTTCCTTTGGATGGAGTGCCACAGTATAGGATAGGGTCTGGGTACTGGAGTGTCTGTGGAGTACAGGTGCCTGGGGTATTCAGAACCATGTCAATTTAATGGGAAAGATTTAAAGATGAGATGAGTGCCTCTGAAAAAATTGCTTAGAAATCAGAAGTAGTTATTTATGAATTAGAATCAAAAATCACAAATATTCAGGGAGCAAAATGTTCTTTAGTAGGATTTGAGAAGCTGAAAGTAAAGGGGACTATTGATAGTGGACCCTAGAAATGAATTATCAAGTACATGGCATTTAGGTGCCATGCAGATTTTTTTTTTTTTTTGACCTTCAGCTTGGCCTATATCTTTCACTTTCCCTCTTGTAAGCGGGCCTGCCTCCTAGTGAACACTGGACATGCTGATGGCTGATAGGACTTTCCTCTGGCTCTCTGCTTATTAAGCCAGACAAAGGGGTACTGCTGGTATAGCCTCACATCAACTTTAAAGGAAATAATTTTTAAAAATAAACATTCCATAGTGCTTTAAAGGTTTAATTTATATTATTGGGCCCTGCAAGAAAATGCCTAGACAACTTCTAAAAGCTTCCCTTTAGCCAATGTCTGCCAGTTTGCCACTAACTGAAGATGAGCGGCTGGCTGCTTTGATGTTATCGATGGTGATACCACAGCATAAAGTAGGAAGAAATAAATGGGACCGGGCTTCATTGGTTTAACCTCTAGAAGAATCATGGAGCTAAGAAGAGAGGCTGTGGGAGGGGATCGATAGTTGACAAATGAAAAGAGTCTCAGTCAGTTGGAAGGAGCATTTATTTTCCTGTGACGTAGCAGAATAAATCACTTTGTAGAATCCAACAGCTCAGGATTGTCCTTAGCAAAGACAAGCTGTCTTTGTTTACCTCAGATCTTTGGGAACTAGAGAACAAAGCTATTCCCCACCCCCCTACATTTTATAATTGGGGAAATAAGAATGTAACTATCCAAATGGGTGCTAAATGAGAAGCAGATCTATCATCATTATCCTGAGCAGGTACTTAGTGTAACATTTAAAATAAGTGGGAGCACGTGAAGTGCCATGGAGCTTTCTTAGTAAAATATGAATCCTGTTCTCATTCAGAGTTTTCCCCCAGTAAAGAAGCTTATGGCCCACCAATAACACATGGTGTCTTTGTTGTTTATTTATTGAGAGGTTCTTCTCAAAACATTATGTTTCTTTTGCTAATTCTTCATGTAAGTCAAATTTATCCTTTGGTTCAGGAAGACTTGTGGTTGGTTTCATGTGACATGAATCAATCTGAAACATTTTTTGAATTATTCAAATTTGCTCTTTTACTCTCTGTCCTTTCTCTGCCATTTTGGCTAGTGGTTAGTAGCTTACATCAAGACCTCCATTTTTTTCTCATGAAATATGAGGGTTATGGGTCTTCTGTGGCTCCAGTTCCAAGTGTCTTCTCATTCTGGATCCAAGGATTTAGAGATAATGTTCTCATGATTCAGGAGAGACACTTAAGAGAAAGCCAACTGTTTTAGTCAGCTTTATCTCTGCTGTGCCAAAAGATCTGAATAGAATAATTTTAAGAGGAAAAGTTTATTTGGGGGCTCAAAGTTTCAGAGGTCTTAGTTCATAGATGGCCAAGTCCATTACTTAGGGTTTCAAGTGAGGCTGAACATCATGGAAGAAGTGTGTGTCGGTAGAAAGCAGCTGGGGACATGACACTAGGAAGCAGAGAGACTGTGCTTACCAGATAGAAAATATAAAACCCAAAGATACGTCTCAGTGACTCACCTCCTCCAGCCACACCCTACCTGCCTACAGTCACCCTCTCCTCCAATTAATCCCTATCAGGGGATTAATGCACTGATTAGGTTAAGGCTTTTTGCCTCTAAACTTTTCTTCATTTCACCTCTAAACTTTCTGGTTTTGTCTCACACATAGCTTTTGGGGGAGACCTCATATCTAACACCAACCCAAACTTCACCAGTATACATAAAACTTCTCCTTGGATAAGACAAAGGTCAAGTCTGACCTTGATCAAGTGGCTAAAACATGCCACATGATCAAACCTGAGGTCAAGCAGATGAGGACATGTTTCTTCCAACAGGATTCTCAGACCATCTGGGTGACCTTTGTTTCCTGCTAGGACTGTGATTAAATTATATTTTAAAAAGTCAAATTTATCACAATGATGCATGAAGCTGCCTTGTTGAATACAAAGGCAAGATTGCAGCCAGCCCTCGGGAATGAACCAGATGGAGAGAGTTGAGTCCATTAAGGACTCACCTTTTCTCAGCTGTGCTCCTTTCAGAATGCTTCCCTCTTTCTCTTTAGCAGGAAAAGTTCACTATCTCTCTTACTTACATATTGGAAAAACATCATATCCAAGAAACCATAAAAGTACTGTTCAAGATAAACTTGTCATTAGTTCTAACTCTGCATTCTCAGAGAAGACTTCTAAGTCCTCTGCAGTGCTGCACAGAGAGCACGATGTTCAAGTTCACATTACATAAAGTAGCTGCTGGGATCCAGCAACATAACTACGTCGATTTTGCTGAAGTAAAATTAATAAGAAAGGGACACCTAGACAGTTCCAGCCATAGGTTTCCTTTATAGATCATAATTCTGTTAAGCAGCTTTTATTAATTAAGTAAAATTAGTTTATTTTTGTTTTACTTTTTTGTTTAGTGCAGATTTATTTTCTACCTAAAGGAAATTTGAGTTTTATAATATGCTGTGTTGCAGTTTTTGAATCAATTGTCTGTTTGCAAAATGTTATATTTAAATTTTCATTTTTTCCCCAAATACAGATAGAAAGAAAGCATCTTAAGTAGCTATCACTCTGAAGACACCCATGAAATTCAATTACTTGTCTACCTGCATATAGATATGGTATTGAGCCTAGGAATGAAGATGTTTTCACTGACTGATATATCAGATAGTTTTTGAGGGAGAGATTTTGAGTAAAAAGAAACAATGATTGTCTACACTAGGATTAGTATACCTATAGTGCATAAAAGTATTAGCAAAGATACAAAAAAAAAGAAGCATTGTATTTGAAAGTTCTTGTCATTTCTTTTTGCTCATAATCTATGTGATATTTACCTTCACCTCAACAACACTGAGACAGGTGTTATAATTTCATTTTGCAGATGAGAACTGATGTTCAGAGAGGTTGAGCAGCTGGCTTAAGGTCACACTATAAATGGCAGATTCAAGATATAAATCCAGGTTGGACCAACTCTAAATTCTGTGCTTATTTGTAAATTATCTAGCATATTGGTGTAATGAAATAGATTTGCATGGTTCTTTAATGAAATGAGTGGAGTGGGATTATGATTACTGTGGGTTGCACTATTTCAAAAAGACAAAGATCAGAGTGAGGTAGGGTACATAGAGAATTGCTGAGGCAGGCTCCCAAGTGGCTGTAGTTAGGTTCACTTACTGAGCTTTCCAGCAGGCTATATGGTAGCCAGGGTTGGGAACCGACTATGTTATGGTTAGTAAAGACCAGAAACACTGAGATTCAGCATACAGAGTCAAGGTCATAAACATTAATTTGTGAGCATGCCCCTCACCCCCTTATGTAACCTGTTGGCAGTGTGCCTTCTTTGTTTTGAGACTGCATATAAAAAGTGCCTAAGGAAATGGGCAAAGGGGAGGTGCTAAAATGGAATTGGCTGGGGGTTGAAATTGAAGCTGGGGGCTGGCAAATGGCTATGGCTACCTCTGCATACAGAATGACCACCATTCCCACCATGCCTTGCATCTTCTTCCACTTGCTGAACCCCCAAACGGTTTCCTGGGTCAAGGCCCCGACACGACAAGAATATTGTATGCAATGTTTGTATTAGTTATGTCATAGGGAACTGCAGTAACAAATCCATCTTAAAAATTCATGACTTAAAGAAGAAATGTGTGTTCATTACTCATATAGGAGTCCAGGGTGGGTTTGGAGATGTGGTAATTCTCTTCTGTGATAAGAAAAGCACTCAGGTTAGCAGTTGCTTTTCCTCTTTCAATGGGTCCCTTGGGGCATCTATCCAAGGGAAAGATGGGGAAGGAGCACAGAAGAGCATGCGTGCACTTGGATGTCACTCCACTCTTGAAAGTGTACCCCTCCCTGGCTCTCACTGTAGCTCCACAAGGCGCCTCTCTATGTGAGTGGCAGGGGCATGCAATGTAGCTGGCCAGCCATATACTTGACCTTTTCATTCTAATGGAAATATAGAACATATTGTGGTAGACATCTGGGAGTCTCTATCACAGAAGAAAAACACCCATAATTTGGAGGAATGGAGAAGAGAAAGAATGGCTTTATCTTGTCCGGAAGAACAATAAGAATGACGAGGCTATTAATCCCCATCAGGTTTCTATTTCTTTAGCTGATAAGAAAAACTTATTCTAGATGAATTCCAAAATTGTTTCTAACTTTTAAGTGCCTATGGTTCTGGGAACTAATATTCAGTGGATACTGTGTTCAGCTGGAGCAAGGTTTTTGTTCTGGAAATGGCGCAAAATAACTCTCACCTTGTGTGAAAAGAGTGGGTCTTGAGTAAACATTTTATTACATTGGAGACTAAGAAAATATCAAATAACAGATGCTGATCAAAAATTTACATGTGATGGTTAATTTTATCTGTCAACAAAACTGAGTCATGGGATACTCTGATGTTTAGCTGGAAAAACATTATTCTGGGTGTTTCTTTGAGGGTATTTCAGAAAGTGATTAGCATTGGAATCAGTAAACTGAGTAAGAATCTACCCTAACCAATATGGTGGGCATTACACAACGCATTGAGGGCTGGATAGAATATAAAAGTGGAGGAAACACAAATTCACTTTCTTGCTGTTTCTGAGCAAAGACATTCATGTGTCCTCTGCTTGGACGTGAGGGCTCCTAGTGGTTACACCTTTGGCCTTGGACGAATCATACTGTCTGCTCTTCTAGCTCTCCAGCTTGCAGTGGCACATCATGGGACTTCTCGGCCTCCAGAACTGTGTGAGCTAATTCAAATAATAAATATCATATATCCATACATATCTTATTGGTTCTGTTTCTCTGCAGAATCTTAATACACTATTACAAACCAGATACTTTGTCAGGTGCTGTGAAGGAGACATTCTTTTAGAGAATAGATTACATACTATTTTTTTAAAAAATATTTATTCTCTAGATTTTTTTTAGGTGGACACAATATCTTTATTTTTTATTTTTATGTGGTGTTGAGGATCGAACCCAGCACCTCGAGCATGCCAGGCGAGTGCATCACCTCTTGAGCCACATCCCCAGACCTAGATTACATACTATTTGTGGAGGAAGTTGAATTGAATTAAGAAAAAGGAAGATTAAAGCAAAACAGAATGGGATGTGTTCCCAGAGTTCCAGACCTCAGTATGCAGTGAATATGAAATGGTCCTTGAATATCTTCTAGAAGACCTTTCTGAAGATAAAAATAATAATAAAAAAAAACTAAAAGAAAAGAAAAAATATCTCTAGTAGGAGCTTATTTTACTGTGATTTGTCTTTTACATTGGGTCATATTAAGTTTCCATTCATTAAAATTTCTGATTAACTTTGGGTTAACTATAGTTTTATTGCAAATAAAAATATATATAACTCTATCCTCTATTTTACACGTTGGGCAATTAATTTAATATTTTTATGAGGTTAAATCAGTCCTTCATGCAATCAATAATTATTTCATACAACTTACCAATTTCCATGAAAATAGTTTCTCAGGTACTATAACCATCTGAAAACTCTGCCAAATGTAGTGTTCTATTGCTCTTAATTCTTCACCAGGTATAACTCTAAAATATTCCAAGACTCTGATCTTTGGATGTAATGTATCTTTTAAGTTTTTTATTAATTAGTTTTTTGGAATTTGGGATTGAACCTAGGGGCACTTTAACCACTCAGCTACATGCCTAACTCCCTTTCTTTTATTTTAAGACAGAGCCTTGCTAAGTTGCTTAGGGCCTTGCTGAATTGCTTAGGCTGGCCTCTAACTTGCCATCCTCCTGCTTCAGTCTCTGGAGTCATTGGGATTACAAGGCCTGACCTACTGCACCTGCCTTAATGCCTCTATCTCAGCTTTACTCTTCTATGGTTGTAGTTACAATTTGTAAAAATCTTTTATTCTTAAGGAAATTGCAATCTTGTAGATTTTAGAGGAAGGCCATTTCAAATCGTTTTTCTTTAGTTTTGGGGTAATGTATTGTTATAAACTCACTGTAATTATGTTTGTTATCTGAAATCCTTACTTCAATTTGTCTTCCTGATGGAACACAAGACCTGGGACTAGAAGTCGGGAGAAATGCACTTCAGCTGGGTTTGCCATTCACTACTGGGTGCATTCTTTACCTTAATGAGGACTTGGGTATAACTTTATTTCAAATGAGGGGATTGTGATAGCAGTATAAGGTGCACTCTTTAAAATATTACTCTTCTCTTTGTTGACATTGGACTAACCACTTTTATTTATTTAGTTTCTATATGCCCATTAGTTTAATCGTAAATTCTAAAAACTTGTGTTTCTTAATTTTTGAAGAATTTATGACTGGGTGCAAAATTAGCTTATACTAAAACCAAGTGTCCTTTTCCTCATCTGCAGTACTAAAAGGCAAGACCGGCTTTGCAGAAATGTGTGCATTTGCATGTTTAAATAGGATCTGATTTATACTGCGCCAAGCGCCATCACTGACAATTACGTAGGCTTGGAAATGAAATTATGACTTAGAAATACATGTGGCATATGTTCTACTCCAATTTAAAAATATGCCTGTGGGAAACTTTAAAAAAAATTTCATAAACCCAACTAAAATCCACAGATTGTATAAATCAATTTACAGAGGTATTTTTCCTTTGCATGGAAATAATGTTTATATCTCTCAACTTTGGAACATCAAATAGCTTTAAATCTCATTTGATGTTGTAGTAATTACAATCACATTTATAGTTCCTTACTAAGTGTCAGGCTCTGTACCATATGCTCTATGTGAATTATTCTTTTACTCTATAATCTCTACAGCCGAGATGCCCTATTTAAAATGTACATTAGGAAAATGTTACTGTTCAACTGATATTACACACACACACACACACACACACACACACAGAGAGAGAGAGAGAGAGAGAGAGAGAAAATCATGGAGAAGAAGCAAGAACAAAGACTCTTTAAAATATAACCACCCTGAAATCATGTGAGAGATCTAGCAAATTCTTTTTATTTACATAGAAATGTGTACACACACTTTCTCTGTACACAGAAAATTCTAAGTATATATACATATATGGTTCCCATGTACTTTACAATAAATAGTATTCTACTCTTGTTTCTAGATGAAAATAAAAAGATGCTGCAAAATATTACTTACCGACCACAAAATTACAAAAGCACCTGATGAACTCAGAGCAAAAACTTCAAGCCTGTACTACCACACACTAAGCCTAGTACAATTTTTACAAAAGACAAAATCGAACACTGTGCAGATATCACACAGGAAGAGAATGGAGATGTAAAAATATAGAACAGAGCTGTTGTTGGCTTTCTGAACAGTGTGGTAAGGGCATTTTTGTCAGTTAGGACTTATCTTCCTTTAGTCCACAATTGAATGTTTTACGTTAATTGATATTTTACAGATAAGAAGGGGGGAAAGAAGTTAACATCTCTTGTAAATAGCAAACCATTCCACAAGCCCGAGCTCTAGAAGTCTCTTTCCTTGCCAAGCAGATCCTCTTTCTGTGCTAATCCAGTGATCATCCAGTTCTACCTTACAGGTTGCCACTGTCCCCTCAGGGAATTAGAGAAGGGCACTGGTTGTGAAGTGACATTAATTTGGAAGTAATTTCAAAAGCCAAGTGAGCCAGGTATCTTGGATATCAGCGCTTAATAATTAGAAATGTTCAAATATAACTCATTATTACCACAGTTTCTTCCTTCTTCCTAAAAATTAACTAAATAAAAAGGAGAACTTAATCTGAGAGGCTAGAGATTATGAACTCACAGTCCTGGAATTCCTTCCTTCAGCTTTCATTTTTATTTTTCCCATTCCAGTCTAAGGAATCAACCATTTTTGCTCAATTTCAGAGTTGTTCTACATATGTAGATAATTAAATCACACCATTAAATGAGTAGAATGAGGGAATAAGCTCTTAGGATGACTACAAATTTTATGTCGCTTCTGATAATGTCGCAGCATTAACATTGGTAAAAGACTCTATAAACATCATGGTCTTCATTATTGTTGAGTGGACGTACCCAATTTGCTTTCCAGTACACCAGTATTATTACTCAGATGAGAATCATAAAGGTGGTGACCAACACCGGGTTAGGTAGATGCTGAATCACATTCCACTGAACTGCTCAGGTTGCTCCTCTGTGGCACCGTAACTTTACACACGGGTTTTGAAACAAATTTTACCCCTTCATCTCTCTTATCACTACTGGCACCAATGTGGGGAAAGAGATAGCAATTTAAAAAAAAGCAATCCATATCAGAAACACAATTCATCTATCAAATACCATCTTTTCAGGTATTTTACTAAATCTTTACCGAATTTGAGGTAACTTTCCAAAACATATTTCAAAGGCAGGCTCATTTCAAGAGCAATGTCTATCACATGTGAAATTGGCTTCCTTCCTTTCCCCACGCGGCTACCTTTGATGCTGCTTTTACAGAAACAATATTTCTAGATCTTAGCCATCTCACATGAAAGGGATGGTTTTCATAAACAGTTTGACTCTTTAGATAAAGGTACTTATGATAGAAACAAACACATTTCACCTTGGAGTATGTTTCTTTTTCTTTTAATTTGAAAACGTGATAGGAAACTATGGTTCACTGACAGAAACAAAAGGGATCCTGTACCATGAAAAGCTGGGCTTGTTTCTTGTTCATTCTAATTAAATATACATGAGTCTCTCATTTCTATCACTGTGGACAGATTCAGCCAGAAGATAAGTATGGGGTCTCGCTATGATAATTGTAGTCAGGACAGACCTTCTGCACAAGTTTATAATCAACACTGTAAAAGGCAATGTAAATGCAAATGACCTTGAAGGGCTTGGAGCATAACCAAGACACATGGCTCTGAGTCTGCTCCTGGTAGCAAATCTTGGACGGGTCAAAGTTGCACAGGGCGGTCTTCTTTGACCGGTCTGTTTTTTCATACTCAATGCGACAATTGAAAGATTTGGATTCCTTGGTCTCTAAGGTCGACTGGGGGGAAACTTCAAATTCCACCACTTTGGAAGGAGGTACCAAGCTCACTGAAACATTGCCCAGGCCTGTTGAATTATGCCGGAAATAAACACTGAAGGTTCCATTTCCATGGTCGACAATTTTCCCTGTGATGAGAAGGTTGAGTTTGACAGTTTTAATGTTGGAATGAAAGTCACCCCATCCAAACATTTTCTTAAATTTTCCCGTTTTCACTATTGGCCTCCGCTTAGTTCTTGCTAATGGCTCCTGAGCCTCTGTGATATTGGCCAGCCAATCCCAAAAGTTTTCCATGCTGTCTGCATATGCCATGGGACCTGGCTTGGGCACTGGAGACTGTTTAACAAACAGGCGCAGAGGACTGATGATCCTTGAGTGCACCACGTTTCCAACCAATGTCCCTGGGGCATCTTTGTCTTCCCAGTCCAGACCTTCTGAGGCATGCACCGCCTCTTTACCATCACAGAATAGCTGTGGGGAAAGAAGAAAGAGAAATCAACTTCAGGTGGGCTTTGAGCATGCACACAGACTGAAGGCAAAGCACAAGAGAGTTTCAATATTATTTGGAGTCTTGTTAAATAGCATTCACACACACAGATGGTCTCAGCAGTATTACGAGATGAGCATTTAATTCTAACTGTGAATAGAAAAATTAAAATGGTAAGATTAGGAAGAGGGCATTTTATTTTGAGGGTTGATGGGATTTTTTTCTTTCTGTTTCCTCATCTTCACAATTTTCTTTTCCAGATTGTGAAAAGTATCATGTTTTGGCCTCTCATTTGATAAAAACTGTTAAATTTGTGAGGTCTTTTCTGTTGGAAGACAGCTTTAGATGCTGGAAATTTCTACCAAGGAGCTATAAGGTATTTGAATATAAGGTATTGATAAGTCTAGTAAATATATTTGAAAATACTAAGGATGTTATTATATTCAAAGGCTTAAGACATAATTTTATAGTTTTTGATATAATTCTATCTCAAGCTGTTACAAAAAAGGCATGTGATTAATGTTAAGAGGTTTTACAGAAGTTTCAGTGGGAAAAATATAATTACACATTTAGTTGTCTTAATAGAAACATAAGTTAATGTTAAAAGTATAAATATAAGTAGACTTATATGATTTAATAAATTTTATTATAGCAATATTATAATCAAAGACAGGATTGCTAGGAAAGCATCATGAACATGTGTTTTACTGGTTCTACAGCATTTTAGTTCAAATCATAGTCACTGAAATATAGCACTTTGTTTGCATTTGATTTTCCTTTTATTTTTGTACTACAAGGGTCCTTACGATTTCTAAAAATCATTTAGTTGAGTCAATATGGATTTTCAAGGGGCAGAATCATTACATATGAAACTGTTGACTGGAGTGAATATTTATGGATGAGTTATAAAGTCTGGAAAATAGAGGTTCCTAGTGGAAACACAGATAGCCTCTTATCTCTAATGGCACAAACCACTCCTGTGATGATTCTACAGAAAACTGTCAGCATGATGAAAAGGATGAGGAGAGAAGAGACGCTGTGTTTATGTACCGTTGCTCTAGTCCTTTCATACTTGCAAAGCACTTGGTAGAACTGGTCTCAAATTATTCCAGAAATTATTGCTTTCAATACAATTTTGGAAAAAAAAGACACAGCCTGGATTATAAATATTGCACTGAGCTACATGGTGTAGTTTGATAACATGAAGTCCTCTTTGTATGTTCATAAAATTTTAGAAGTTTAAGTTCTAACAGAACCTTGTGAAAAGTGTTTTTTACCTACACCTGTTTCCAAGATCACTTTGAGGGAGGTATTCAAGGACTCCAAATATATGAGTGGAATTGTGGGGTTTATTTTTTCCTTTGATGGGAGTAGTATAGGGGGTGTTGCATATACATTTCTGCCTTGATTAATTTTCTAAAGCCTTTTCTTCCCAGTTTCTATGGTTAAAAAAATTATTTTCATTAAAATTAGTGATGTTGGCAGAAGGGCAAATTAATGATGCATATGCTTACAATTAAGAACCCATATAACTTCTTAGGGGCTTATATATCCTGAATTGATTACTTGTTTGTTTTTCCTAGGGTTGTAAGGATGGCATATTCACCAGAGAAAGAGGGACAATCACTCACGATTTGTGGCTCAAAATATGTCTGATACTATATAACTATAGCTTTCTGATGTTGAGCACTCTTAATTATGAAGTAGGTAGATCAACTGAAAGCAGCCCATGGAGTTCAGTAATCTGGCTCCAATTCTGACTTGAGTTTCCAGAGAACTGATGAAGACTGGTCTAAGGGACATGTCCTGGCCTTGCTCCAGAGAGCTCCAAAGTCACATGCTCAGGCAAGAAGCCCCTGGGGAATCAAGGTCCAGTTTCTCCACTCTGTGATCATGATTCTTTTTGTCCAGAGTCTGTCAACTATTTTTCACCTGTCTCCAGTAAGATTTGTCTTGCCTGGGAAATGCTGACAGATAACACATACCATTTGCTCAGCATCTGGCGTGCAAGAGCTGCTCCTTTGCTTCCCCATTTCTACCCCTTGATTTAGTATAGATTTCAAACTTCCTCCCTCATTCCTGCTTTCCTTTATCTCTTTCATAGGACACATCCCTTCTGACATGTTTTCTTTGTCACATGCCTTTAAAACCCCCTCAATTCTTATTTCTAAACACCACTGTCCTAATTGATACTTCATTAGCAGAACTAAGATACATATTTCCATCCAAAAATATTTTTTCAACTACATATTGAAACATTCATTGTTACCAGTAGCAATGGTCTACTTTTTTTTTTCTTCTTCTCAAAGTGTATGTTGTATGTTATATAATTTCCTGAAAATTTTCTGACTGGATAATTTCTCTTGATTCAGTGCTTTGCTTGATTTTTCTCACTTTCTGTTACGGAAAACCTGTAAACATTGAGTCCATCTTTCAATGATGAGTATATTTTGCCATAATTTAGAGTCTCATCTGATTCTGATGCATTTTGGAAGACACAATAGGCCCCCAACATTTTAAGAGATTCTCCTTTTATTTCTAGGATTTCTGTTGTGATGGTTCCAAGATTATTCAATAATAATAATGTGTGAACATTTACTGAATTTTTTTAAAGATCTGAAGATTTTCCCAGAAGTCATTTATGTTGTAATATAACTTTACCCAAATATATGTGACTCACTTAAGAAATATGGGCTTGAAACAAAACAGAACAAAAGCTAATAGAGCCTATCAAATAGATAAATTGAACGTAATTGTTTTTTTATAAAGACTCTTTAATTCCTCAGAAAAAATTCTTCATATGAGAACTTGAAATGGAATTTGATTTATAAAAAATTCTAACATATTACTCTTCAGGTCCAAACTTGCTCAAGGTGTCACTGCTTTTAAAGTTGGTCTACATAAAAAAATAAACACTGTCTGTTTATATGTTATAAGTATGAAATTATATCTATATATTTAGTTTTTTTTGCTTTGTCCTAGACCATCATTTTTTTAAAAATTTTTATTTATTTTTATGTGGTGCTAAGGATGGAACCCAGGACCTCACACATGCTAGGTGAGTGCTCTACCGCTGAGCCACAACCCCAGCCCTAGACCATCATGTTTCTAACCTGCTTTAACAACAACATTAGACAAGCTGAGAAAAAGCTGTGTATAACTTCATCTATTTATTATTTTAAAATACATGGTCAGTTCTCACAAGCGCTGATTTCCACATTGAAGTCCAAACTCAAAAAGCCATTGGGAATTAATAATACACCACTACAAGAATATGATTAAAAGAGTAAAAGTATCTCTTGTGGTTTTTTAAAAAGCTGCCTCCCTCTCTCCGTTTCCTTTCCCTTTGCTGTAACTTATTCATCCAGCCTCTTGTTATAAATTATCACTTTATAACATCTTGGCCAAGAAGGCACCCTCTCCTTTACAAGGCTAAATGGCTCATGACTTAAGTCTCCAAGGCCATGATTAACCTCAGAAGAGCTAATAGGGGAAGATGAGGGCTGATAAGCCACAACCTTGCCCCCTTTACCCACTTACACCTGACTGGGAAACAGCATGACATGACAGAAAAAGCAGTTTGGTACCTGATGACATCATTACCCCTTGCTCAAGTGCTGACCAGAACCCCAGTTTTCTCACCTATCCTTTGATGGTTGGTTGTAAGGACTAATCAAAAGAATGGATGGAGCCTATTTCTTGGCAAATGAAACTCAATGATTGATGGCCTTTCCATGGTCCAGTGGGCAGGCTTCTGCCTTCCACTGGCTATAACCCACATAGCCAAAGGATTACATGAATTTTCAAACCTCCAGAAAACTAATTAATGTCTAATTGAGCAACTTGTTTCACACTATGTGATAAATTAACGACCAAGTAGAAATCAACCTTCTCAACTCTGGAACATCAATCAAATGCTTTCTCATGTTTCCATTTCCATTGGTCTCTGACTCACACCAGATCACAAGTACAGGTGAACTCTCTTTGCCAACAAAATGTGTTTATGGATCTTTGATTCCAACCTAACAAATGAGTCAGCAAAGGCTGAAAGTACAAAGTGTCTAGCAGGTGCCCACATTCCCCCATGGATAATTTCTGTGATGCAACATGCTGAGAGAAGACTGTAGGTGGTTTTGAAGCTGTTGGCGACCCTCTCTGTTCAAGGCAAGATAGACGTTATCTAAACACATGGCTGTATCCCCCTGTTTCCTTTCGTACTTGCTGGGGCTCTTCATGCTAATTTCAACATCATTGCTGTCTTCTGTCTCATCATATTACAATAATAATGCAAAACATTTAACTGCAAGCACAAAATGGAGTTTTAAACAGGGGAAGAAAGAGGAATTGCTGTGCTTTATCTGTTTGAACATTCCCTGATTTCAACACATTTATCAAAGCTTAAGTAATTTATGTCTTGGCAGGGTGTATCAATTTCACAAAGCACACACATTAGCTAGATACAATGATATCATATTAGCTTTTTCTGCATCTTACAGAAGAGCTCAAAAAGATTAATAAAAGCTCAAACCTTCATCAATTAAATGAAGCAGGTGGAAGGAAGGGGGTAGAGGAATAAGACTGTATTTCATTTCAGTTCTTTTGTTTTTTGGGGGGGAGCTGACAGGTTCAAATCATTCATCATAACAAGCTGAAGTTGAATTTCACTGATAATTAAATGCATTTTTTCCCAAGAGGCAGAGAAGCTGCTATGAATTTTATAGTAGCAGATGTGAGAACTGTCACGAATTATGGAAATAATTTATAAACTAAAAGGCATCTTCCTCTGCAAACATCATATCAGAAAAGCCTTTTTTTTCCCCTTCAACTGTATTTGCGGTGTTTTTTAATTAGCATTTTATTTTGGAATAACTTTAGTTTACAGAAAAGTTGCATAGTACAAACTCTGCTCCCAGGTTCCTCCATTGTTAACCTCTAACATTACCCTAGTACACTAGTAACAACCAATTAATCAATATGGACACAA